CATATATAAATATATATTCATATTTATGAACTGCGCAGGGGTATTAAAGATTCCAAGTGAATGATAATGTGCGTATTATTCGTTTATTTCTTCGTGTTTCCTTCAATTCTCTTGGTATGTTTTATCCAAACTCTGGAAGCTGCAAGAAAAATAAATATATTTATTGTATAAAATGATCAATTTAAATATTGAATGATTATTGTTTTAACTAAATTATGAAATAGATTTCAGATGGTAACAATATTCAATTCAATTAAAATCAAAGACACATTTTATTGACCATTTATTAAAGTATAGTATATGAAAACACAACAAAAAGAATAGCATGAAGCACATACTAAATTCCATTGTTTCAATTACAAGATCATATTGCAATCATGAATATATCCCCGTAAATGGAAGAAAGAGAATATAGCAGAAAGATATTTTGTTAGTGGAAAGATAGCAAAACAATAATACTTAGGCCTATGATAAACCGATTCACGAACTAAAATATATAGGGCCTAGGCATATTAAATTTTTCGTTTTCGCAACTCCTTCGGCGCTCCATATATTTGTTCGAAATAAACCGCGACCGAAATGATCGGCTACCATATCGAACGAGGAACAAGAATCTAACTTACAGTTGTTGAATATCAAACAAGGAACAAGTAACCAAACAAGCCTGATTCTATATTGATTAACTGAAAAGGTATGGCATTTATCTTGTTCATCATGTCTGTTGTAACTAGGGCTTTCTGGGGTTCCATGGTTCGGGCGAATAATATTTATATTATTATTTATAATCAATTGATCGGACAATTAGGAACGTAGGTCTGATGAAGTAATGTTCCAATCAGGGTTGCCAGATAGTCGACAGGCTTCACGGCCAAACACACGCCATCTCACGGCCAAATTCGGCCAAACTTTTTTTTCGATATCAGCCAAAATTCGGCCAGATTTTAATCCGATTAGAAGACAACAGTGGGTACATTTATTTAAAAATACTACAAAAATTATACGAACAGAAATATGCGTTTGGGCAATCAATTTTTTTTTAATTTTTTTTTTACCACCCCTCCTTAAATCCACCTGTGCTATTTAAAAATCACAATTAAGATTGATCTAAATTTGATTTAAATGTATTAAATACTAATGTACATTGTAGTCGATCTATAGCAAAAATTTTAAGGGCCTGTTATTGGCAGATCCGTGGCTCTCTTTAATTAGAATGAATTAAGTTACATAGTTAGGTAACACAAACTGACATTTACTAACATTTATTTAAAAATACTACAAAAATTATACGAACAGAAATATGCGTTTGGGCAATCAATTTTTTTTTAATTTTTTTTTTACCACCCCTCCTTAAATCCACCTGTGCTATTTAAAAATCACAATTAAGATTGATCTAAATTTGATTTAAATGTATTAAATACTAATGTACATTGTAGTCGATCTATAGCAAAAATTTTAAGGGCCTGTTATTGGCAGATCCGTGGCTCTCTTTAATTAGAATGAATTAAGTTACATAGTTAGGTAACACAAACTGACGTTAAAACAAACCTATGGAAAATTTAATAAATAACTTTTTATCTAAACTTTTGAAATTCGCCTCTAAATGTTATTGTCGCAGTACTTAAAGCAATAAATCAATGTTGCTATCAGAATTATTTTCTTCATTCTCACATGCAACCACTGAACTCCAGAGTAACTTCGAAGAAGTCTCTGCAAAACTTGCTCGAAATTGGAGGTGCCATCGGACCCGAATGAGCATTGATATATGGCACTCTACATAAAGAACACTGCGGCACCTAGGGCTATACAATTCAAGTGGGCAATAATAAATTACTTAAAAGTACAGTATTTAATTTATATTCAAAAGAAATTCAAAAAGAGATAGAACCTCCACTAGTAAGATGGAACAATAAAAGACACATAATATATGGTACAAACTTGCAATGAACTGTCTTCATAAAGCTTAAACGAGGATAAACTTCATAAACAAAATATTTCATCCGAACAATTTAAATTATTAAATGTAACTGTTATCTTTTATAAATAAACTCTCTTACGTCAAGTTGGCTGAATCGGGGAACATATATTAAGTGTTTACTGCAAGTACAAACAAGTAAAATATTAGAATAAATATAGAATTTAAGCCTTCAAAAACAAAATACCCAAAACAAGTCTACGTTTCTACGTTATATTAGGCCTATATTGAAGAAAAATGTAAACTTTTCAAAAATTCTTTTGACTTTTTTTCAATTCAATTCAAAATAAATTTATTCCAAATCTTTTCAAAGCATAGATTAAACAGTACAGATATAAAAATGAAAATGGAAAGGGCAACCACAAACAAGCAGAGCTTTACACTTGTGGCGCCCGAAAAAAAAGTAATTAAGATACTATTTCAAATTGACAATGTAAGTCAAGGTATGCACTTTAATTAAAGCACATTCATATCATAGATCAAGATAATAATAATAATAATAATAATAATAATAATAATAATAATAATAAAAATAAAAATAAAAATAAAAATTATAAGGATAACAAAAAGAAAAATAAAATAAAAATAAAAATAAATAATAATAATAATAATAATAATAAAAAACAAAGAAAAAAAATTATAAGGATAACAAAAAGAAAAATAAAATTGAAATAAAATAGAATAATAATGATAAAAATATATTACAACTAATAATATGTCGATCTTAGATTGCAATTAACACTGTAAAATTATATAAATAATTAAATAGCAGCAATAAAACAACATACAAATTGCACTTAAACATCATTCACTAATATTATTGACGAATTTCTTTACAAATAATACAATTGTTCCCGTCTTGGCAGTGGTACTGTTTCATCTTATAACTTTCATGATAAATATTATTCATTTTGTTCTTAAATAGTGAAATATTAGCACATGCTCTTATAATGTTTGATATGTTGTTCCACGGCACCTTAGGCCCATGATACGAGCAATACGAGATTCCTTGTCGGCCAACATTTTGTGCGTTTTAAGTCGATAACAAGGTTTTGTTTATTTCGCGTATTATGATTATGGTATGAGTTAAGTGTACGGAATAACAAACCAAAAGATTCAGGTAATAAACCCTTATTATATAAAAACATTAAGTTGGCTACATTTTTTTTCGTATAGGGCCTAAATCATGTTTAAAGTATTGGTTTTAACAGAAAGTTGTTCTGTGTATATCATTTGAATTTCTTCAATTTCAAACAAATGACCGCTGATTTTCGTGTAATTTTTGTAGTATTTTAAATGAATATGTACCCACTGTTGTCTTCTAATCGGATTAAAATCTGGCCGTTTCTTGGCCGATATCGAAAAAATGTTTGGCCGAATTTTGCCATGAGATGGCGTGCGTGTGTGTTTGGTCGTGAAGGCTGTTGACTATCTGACAACCCTGGTAGTAGCGAATATCGAACGAGGAACAAGAATCTAACTTACAGTTGTTGAATATCGAACAAGGAACAAGTAACCAAACAAGCCTGCTGATTCTATATTGATTAACTGAAAAGGTATGGCATTTATCTTGTTCATTATGTCTGTTGTAACTAGGGCTTTCTGGGGTTCCATCGTTCAGGCGAATAATATTTATATTATTATTTATAATCAATTGATCGGACAATTAGGAACGTGGGTCTAATGAAGTAATGTTCCAATCACATGCGAGAAAATTCCGATCCGGATACCAACAATATGATGATTGAATCACTGGCCAATAAGAAACTGGAAATTTTAAACGTGTACGTGTGATTGGTTGATGATAGAAACGCTCTCATCTTGCTAACTGATAGCGCTTGCTAACCGTTAGCATATCCGGATACCGCTAACAGTTAGCGCTAATTGATGAAAACCAGGCTTTAGAAATTCTCCGGTACTTACTATTAGTAAAATTCTCAATGGCTATGTTCTCACATGGCAGCTAACGGTTAGCAGGATCCGGATCCTGCTAACCGTTAGCTGCCGTGCCTCCATGCAAGAAAATCCTGATCCGGATACCAACAATATGATGATCGAATCACTGGCCAATAAGAGACTGGAAATTGTAAACGCGTACGTGTGATTGGTTGATGATAGAAACGCCCTCAACTTGCTAACTGATAGCGCTTGCTAACCGTTAGCATATCAGGATACCGCTAACAGTTAGCGCTAATCGATCAGGCGTTCTCACACAGGTGCTAACGGTTAGTGCTAACGGTTAGCTCCCGATCAGGATACTAGGGCTCTCGTGAGAACCAGGCTTTAGAAATTCTCGGGTACTTATTATATTAGTAAAAAAAAAAAACAGTTAGCAGGATCCGGATCCTGCTAACCGTTAGCTGCCGTGCATCCATCCGAGAAAATCCCGATCCAGATACCAAAAATATGATGATCGAATCACTGGCCAATAAGAAACTGGAAATTGTAAACGCGTTCGTGTGATTGGTTGATGATAGAAACACGCCCACCTGCTAACCGATAGCGCTTGCTAACCGTCATCAGTATCCGGATACTGCTAACTGTTAGCGCTAACCGATCGGGCGTTCTCACGCAAGTGCTAACGGTTAGCGCTAACGGTTAGCTCCCGATCAGGATACTGGGCTCTCATGAGAACCAGGCTAAAAAGTAGGTAAACATTTTGATTAATAAGTTAAATTTCAGTGCAGTCGTTTTTTGGTATAGCTTTGATCTTGATCTTGTGTATGGGTTTTTGATGGTGTTATTGTGAGCTTCTGACTTTTTTTGTTGTATTGTGGTATGTTTAATTAAGTTCCTTTCCTGGTGTCTTATGTCTGCTTTTTTCTTTTATGTGTGTTTTGAGTGTGTGATGTTTCCTTTCCTTTTTTATGTTTGTTTGGATTTTTATGTGCAATTTGCTAATTTTGATTATCATGTATATATAACTCTTTTTAAATTAAATATTGAATAATTGGATTGTGAATAAATTGTTAGCATACATTGATATATATATTATATATTATTAGAGATCAATGTGTAGTTTATCGATAATGTGCACAACTAGTTAATTATCATTGCTATGAATTGTTTATGATTAGCAAGAATAATTATTCTATGGTAAAATTACATTGTTATTATTATGGATATTACTATATTATTGGAGATCATTGTCTAGTATAGTAATGGCAATACAGTATACAGAGTAATAAGTGTATAAATTGCAATAGTTTAGTGGACTATTTTGTTAATGTCATGTGTTGTGGTTAATACAGAAACTTGTGACAGACAAATAAAGCAAGCGAGCGAGTCACAAATCACTGGTGCAGCCAGTTTCAATAGTTTATAATCTAGTTCATTAAAGCCAGTGGCTTTGTTGCAAGGCAATTTGCAAATTTCATCAAGAATGTACTCTGGTGTAATAAGATTAAATTTAAACTGATTATTAGTAATACAGTATTATTAAATGTTGTGTTAGTCATGGCCGGCGGAAGCGGGGGGGCCGTGGGGGCCCGGGCCCCCCACTTTTTGGCGAAAAATATAAAATGTCTGGAGATTTTTGTATGACTGCTGAGAAAGTTTACCTTACCGTTTTCATGAGGGGGAAAACCTTGAATTTTGAATAAAAAAATAATTAGACACCTAGCTCAAAAGTCGAGAAAGGTCGTTTCCCGCCATCTAAAAATCAAAATTTTCCCGGGGGAGGAATGTTGAACCCACCATCTAGATTTGATTCCAGATCTGCATGATTCATATTCCCATTCATCTTATAAGCAGTGGCGTAAAAGGCGGGGGGCCAGACTGCCCCCCCCCCGACGGTTTTTACCGGGCTGACCAAGCCGTCGTACCGGGCTGGGTAAGAAGAGAAAAGAAAGAGGAGAGAGGGAGGGAAGAGAAAGAAGGGGAAAGAAAAAGAAAGGAAAAAGGAAAAGAAAAA